ATTTTCTGCATGTGTCATTTGTGAGTGTAGTATTTTTGAGTATGTATTTTCTGTAGTTTTTAATATTTATGACCTGATCCTGTATGGCAATCATGAATCCTTCCATCTCCCCAAAGAGGCATCCCCGATCTAACCAGCTGTTTGATGCAGTTTTGTCAACGTAATCCTGGGCCAGGTCATAAGGATGCCTGCCATGGAGTGCCTTTCGAGTCCACAATTGCTTAATGGTGTCTATGCTTTTTTTATGTTGTGTCATGTCTGTATGATGTGAGTGTAAGTTTAATGGTGTGCTATTTGAGTCTGCTAGAGTTACTGCTTTATTTAACTGTGATGTTTCTTGTTTTTGTAGAAAAACTCTTGCAGTGTCTGTATTTGTTTGTAGTGAAGGTTAATTATGTCAATCAGGCCACGTCCGCCATCTTTACGTGGAAGGGTTAATCTTTCTATGGCGGATTTAGGAAGATGTTGTTTATGCTTAGTAAGTGTTGTTCTTGTTTTCCTTTGGAGTTGCTCAAGATCTGTGTGAGTCCAATGTATAACTTTAAACGAGTATGTGAGTACTGGGACAACATATGTGTTTATTGCTTTAACTGTGTGTTTTGCATTTAACTGTGTTCTGAGAATAGCATTTAACCTACTTTGATATTCTTTAATTAATCTTTGCTTTATTTGTGTATGTTCTGTTAGTTTAGCCTGTTGGAATCCTAAATACTTGTAGAATTTGCCCTCTTCCATGGATTCAATAACATCTCCATTTCCAAGTGCAAAATCTTCTTTCTTCAGAATTCCTTTTTCTATGTGAAGTTTTTTGCATTTGTCTAAGCCAAACTCCATTTGTATGTCCTTAGTGTATGAATGTGTGATTTGTAGGAGTTGATGAAGTTTTTTCTGTGTGGATGCATAAAGTTTTATGTCGTCCATGTATATGAGATGTGACAGTGTAAACTGTGTTGTTTTTTCATGTCTGATATTGTAGCCATAATGCGTGTTGTTTAACATGTTGGATAATGGGTTCAGGGCTAGTCAGAACCAGAGAGGACTCAAGGGATCTCCTTGAAAAATTCCTCGCCTAATGAATATCTCATTTGTTTGTATGGAAGTGTTACTAACCCTTAGATGCAGTGTTGTTCTCCAGTGCTGCATAGTGTTTTCGAAGAATGCAATGAGTGATGGATGTATTTTGTACATGTGTAGAATATGTAGCAGCCAACTGTGTGGAACACTGTTGAATGCTTTTCTGTAGTCTATATCTGCCATGTGTATGTTTCTGTGTTGTTTGCGTGCTTGCGTAGAATGACCGAATCTATGAGTAACTGTTCTTTGCATGCTGTGATTTCTACAACAACCTTTTTTTTGTTGTTCCATAAGAATGTCGTGTTCTTCAACATGTTTGTATATTTTGTTTGTGATACAGAATGTCAATAATTTGTAGAGTGTTGGAAGACATGTAATTGGTCTGTATTGTGTGGGTCTGTTGTTTTTAGGTTTCATGTAGGTGATGCCCTGAGGAAGAAATTTTGGCATGTCTTGTGGATTGTGTGTTAGATGTTTAGCTAGTTCCTGGTGCAAACTTTTTGTACCAGAAATTGTGAATGTTGTCTACACCAAGTGTCTTCCAGTTGTGTGTTCTGTTAACAGCGTAGCGGATGTCGTGTACATTTATTTCAGCACAGGGCATAGTTGGTATGTTGTGCAAGTTTCTGTTCTCCTCCTTGATCCAGCCTGCATCAGCATCATGTGTAACAGCATTGGACCAAAGAGAAGACCAATAAGTTGTGAGTTCTTCTTCTGTTGGTGTGCCACTGTGCTGTGTATCAGTGTTTGTTTTGGTACTGATTTGTCTGTAGAAAAGTTTTTCATTGTTTGTGAATAATTTATTTTGTTGTTTTCATAATGTACATGTTTTGTATTGTTTAAGTCTATGTGCTTTTGCTGCGAGTTTTTGTTTTAGTGTATCGATGTATTCTGTAATGTGTGTGCTGTGATGTTCACGTTTTGTGTGTGTTTTGATTTTCTTGAAAATGTTTTTGAGTTGTTTCTTTAATTTGGGTGTTATGTTGTTTTTAATGTATTGTGTCAGCCTGCCTAATTGCTGTCTAATGTCATTTATTTGTGTTTCTATTCTTCTCTGCCAGGTAGGCTTGTGATAGAATTGTGTTTTGTGTGTGTTTGTCTGCGATTGTATTTTCAGTCTATGGTGTGTTACTACTGTGACTGCCCCAGCATAAACTAATGTATGAATGTCTGAGAATGTAGAAATTGAATGAATGTAGTTTGGTAGTAAGTGAGTGTTTACATAATTTAGTGTTTTTCCTACTACCTTTGACGTGTTGATTTTCGGTATTCTTGGTCTTTGTGTGGGATCTGTGCCTGTATATTTAGTGAGTGTTTCCTGAAATATAAGTGAGAGTGTATTAACTAATTCTATGTCTACGTTATCAGTGATGGATGGGGAAGTGCCTGCAGTATCATTAGTGGTACTTGTTGTGTGTGTGCTGTAATCAGTGCTTGTTGCTGGATTATCCTGACAGGTTACGTGATCTTCATTAATGTTAAATGTTTCTGTCTGTTGATGTATTTGATCAGCAACCTGTTGTTTGATAAGTTCAAGTGTTGTTTGTGGGATAAGGTTGTTGTGTATAATTGTTCTTTTTTGATCAACAACCCTTTGTTCGGTGACAGTGAGGTGAGGATATTGTTGTGTGAATCTATGGTGTAGTTGTTGTCTGTATGCTGTCATGTTTGTTTCGAGTCTTGTGATGGTGTAGTAAGTGCGGATGATAAACTCGTTCATTTCTGTTGTCCATTTCATCCGTTGGCGTGGTTTTCCAGCCTTTGTGGTCTGTGGATGCATTGCCACAGAAACACCAAGGCTAGGTTGATTCCTCACATCTGTTGAGGGCATTGCAGTAGCCATGCTTGGGCCGGCGCTGCTTTCGCCACCGGTAACCAAGGGAGACTGTGGCCTATTTTTCGAACGTGAGCCTCTGCCTAACCCACGAACGCGGACCTTGTTAACCCGGGTGACATCCAAGCCAGTATCATACTTAGATCTGGTTACTACCATAATAATTATCTCCACAGAATGTGGGTGTGGTCACTCTTAGCTTCATTTCTCCCCACAGACCTTACTGGCATGAGTGTCCCTACCAGGAGCTTGTGCTCCAGCCTGCATTGCTCTATGGATCAGTAAAATTACTGGGCTCTCCCACCACGACCAGATGGTGACCACGGGAGAGTTATTATTATTATTATATTTTTTATGCTATCAATGTCTCACGCCAAGTTTTAATTAGTTATAAATGTATTCGAAAATGGAACATATTAAAAAAAGCAATGATATTCAAAAAGCATTCCAATACGAAATCTTTCACCTAAAGATCCATGGAAAGGATCAAAAATGTTAGTCATGTTCATGATTATTTACTGGAGTTTTTTTTTAATTTCAAGGTATTTTAGTACTGTATACTTAGACTCCAGTCTGAAGAACTGGTGAGAGTAGAATAAACATGTTTTGATTTCCCTCATCAGTATGGCATTTAATTTAAACAAATTGATAATAGCAATGCATTCTGCTTGGTGGATATGATTTTTGAGATATATTAAATACTAAAATGACTTAGAATATTTTAATTTATGGTAACAATCAAAACTTATATTTAAGAAATTGCAATCCAATTTATCAGACAATTTAATTGCAAAATTTGAGTAGTGTATTATGAAAAATTAAGTAGGCATTTTTAAATTAATAATTATAAAATTTAAAAAAGGTTATTTTATTTTTCATTAGATTTAGCTGAAATATAAAACTGTACAATTGACAGAACATAAATAAAAATTTTTTTTTTAATTTTTTGAATTATTCTTAAAAATTTTATTTATTTGAGAGAATAAAAATGATTTTTATTCTTTTTTAGAAAATGCATGTGTACAAAAAAACATTACAAGCTTTGATATATCCCATATCCAGTACAACTCCTCATAATTTTCAACCGTGGACAGCAACATCACCAACATATTGTTATGAATGTGAAGGTTTATTATGGGGAATTGCAAGGCAAGGAGTGAGATGTACTGAATGTGGTGTGAAATGCCACGAGAAGTGTAAAGATCTCTTAAATGCTGACTGTTTACAGAGTAAGTAATTATATCAAATTTATTTATGACAAATTAAATTACACCTATCTTACTAACAATAATTTAATATAAATATAAATTATTAAACATATTTAGATTTTATTTTGTTTTTAATGCTACTAAAATATTGATTAATAAAATATTTCTCTTGATGCAAAAGAAAGTAATTGACAGCTTTTATGTAAAATGAATCAAGTAAAATAACTTAAAAAATTTTATTCACTGATGAAATATTTCAATTGATGAAAAGCACACACATCATATCTTTCTTTGTTAACATCTAGCAAAGCTGGAATTTTTACTCTCCTTGTCATTGTACTTCTGTTGTAACTGCTGCTGTAACATTTATACATTTATAAAACATAAATTCAGCTTTGTAGCATTTTAATTAAAAGAATTAAAAATCTAATGTAAAATCTTTTTCTTTTACTGATGAAATATTTTCAAATGGTGAAAAGCATACTCACATCAGATGTTTCAGAAAGACAATCAGAATTCCATCCTACAAAGCATCTACAAAGAAATGTCTGATATGAGTGGTTTCTTTTATTGTTTGGAATTGTTTTATCAGTAACTAATATGTTTTTTTACAGGTTTTTGGGCAGTGTTAAAATAAGTTAAACTGTAATAGATATGTTTTATTCAAACACCAAAACTAACAAATTAAACTCTTCTGATTTCATAATTATATCTTTTTATCCAATTATATATTATTCAGTATTATATATTGAAATATTCAATATATTTAATTCAATATTATATATTCTTATCCAACTAATTATGTAACTTCTATTAGTGATTTAGGCATAGTTTTTGACACCAAACTTATTTTCAAAAATCATATTGATAAACAAGTCAGATGTGGAATTTTATAGCAATTTTGTAAACCCATAAAAGAGCATTGAGAACCATTTTTTAATTCTAATTTTCAGTCTTGCATTGATTATGGATTGCCCATCTGATCAATGGCTGCACCTTTCCTTTTACACAAGATTACTTCTGCTATTAATAAGATATATTTTGCATTTTACAAAATGTGTAATTTGCCTTTCACCGTTAAATCTAATATTGCTAGAATTCATCTGGGCATCCCATCTTTCTTCAAGAGAATTAAATATTTTGATTAGTTGATATATTACAAATATTTTAATGGTTTATATTTATCAAGATTGGCTTTCACTCCAAATTCCATTGAGAAAACTTCACTCATTTACTTATGTTTTTACTCCTTTTATCAAATCTATCCCAATGATGTTTATTCTACTGTATATCACAAAATCTTAATAATTTTGATGAATTTTTACATCTTGATTTTCCTGATTTTAAATTTAAATGTAAAAAAGCACTATATATATTTTAAGATTTGTTATCTTCTTTTATTTTTTTATTTATTTTTCTACTTATTTATTTTTTAACTTATTTGTTTTTGTTTTAAGGGGTGTTATTTGTTCTTACAATATGTTATTGTCAGCGCCCGCTCTAGCATTTATGTCACCCAGGACAAAAAGACAAATTGGCATCCCTTAAACACATACTTTTTAAAAATATATATCTTTTATTTTAAATAAAAATCAAATGGTTTTAAATTATAATAAAAACATTTATTTAAAATGAAATATGTAATATAAAATTAACAGTTAAGTATTACAAAACAGTAAAACTTAAAATGCACCTGTATGTATCCATCTTATATACAACTTATATCCTATTAAAATTAAGCAAAAGTAACATCAACTACCCTAAAATCACAAGAAATTTTTTTCTCACTTTTAGTTCTTCAGACTTTTTTATTAATTGTTTTAAGTTTACTTGATCAGCAGTTTCATGCTCAATCGCCAATATGGTCAAACTATTAAGATGAATTTGCATGGTAGTGGAACATAAAAAGTTCTTAATTCATTTTAATTTAAAGAAACTCCTTTTCCCACTAGCTACAGTTATTGGTATAGTCAGCAATATTCTTAAGACAACACTAAGATTTGGGGCAAAATTTAACATTGTTATTAATTTTAGTACATCGCTTATACTGTCTTTTTTGCCCAAAAGTCCTCTTTTATGGTTGTTTTCTTCGGAATTAATGATCTCAAATATTTTTTTAGCTTTTAGACAAAAATAGTAAATATGAAATGTAAATTGCATAGTAATTTTAGCCACAGAAAAAAATCAACAAATATAAATTTCAATTAATCATTTAACTTATAAATATTTTGTCACATTTACAACTAAAATGCTACTATTTAGATTTGCTGTCCCGGACAAATGTCTGGGTTGTCCACCCCTAGAATGGGCCCTGGTTATTGTAGGGGGGAGAGGCAGAAATCAAATGTCTATCAAGACTTTTTCTAAATGTAATGAAATTTTAAAAAATTATAAAATTTCAAAACTGCTTTTTGTTTTAAAACTTAATTTTCTCTTCTTTAAAGATATAGTAGAACTTTGATTATCTGAGATTTCACATTATCCAAAGTGAACCTGCAAATGAATACATTAGTTTTCTTATTGTTACAGTTATCATACCTTATTTTTCCAGCACTTATTTTATTATTGCAACTGTTTTCAGTTGTTTAAACATCCATCTTCAGACAGAAACAAATTTTTAGAATCAGAATTAGAATCTATTTTCTGAATAACTGAAAATTTGATACAATAGAATCTTCCAAATTTTGACACAAACACAACTTTTATAACTAATTTAAAACAACTGTTTAAAATGGAATTAAAAATTCAGATGAATTTAAATACATTAAAAGATCATCATAAAACCAAATACACTTTTAAGTATCCTGAAGTCACACATGGACTTCGTATAGGATTCCAAACATTGTTAATGTAAGATTTCAAAGTTTATATTGGGATCATAAAAACAAAATGTGACACAAAGATTTACCTTAACAAAAACAACATTTTAATATGCCCAAGCATACAAAAGTTCTCACAAGACTTAAGCTATCAGCCACTTCCAGTGAAACAATACTTGGCTTTGTAACTGCACCAGCATGTACAGTACAGTTAAAATTAATTATAATAAAGCTACCATGGACCTAATTGTAGTAATTAACAATGATACAAGTAATAATAAGCATGACATAATGGATTTTATAATTACAAAATTAAGGAGGTCAAAAATACTTCTTGCCAGCAAGGAGTGGAATACATTCAGCTCCAGTGTCCATCACCTTCCAGCATGGAATGTTCTGGAAGGTGATGGACTCATCTGGACTCATTTGAAAAGCTCCTCAATGCCTTCTTCCTCAAGCTTCTTTCACTACTATTCCTGTCTGTGTCTTGGGAAAAGTAAAGGCTTTTCTTTACTAGGCTGCCTTTTTGTTGTACTCTCCAGACAGTCTCTCCTTAGCAGGAGTCCATACTTCATACAACAAAAGAGCTGGTTTGGGCAAGTTTACAAAAATTGGATAGAACAAGGGGTAAGTAGAGGAGACAGAAAACAGTACGGCAGATTGCCACATTAACATCCTTTTTTTCATTGAAATTAATGCACATTTCTTGTTTGGCTGACTTATAAATCTTTCTTAAGTCTTTATCTCCTAAACTAGTTGTATAATGTAATTCCCATATCACATCCCATATCTGTCATGGCAAACTGGTATCTTACAAAGTAGTGAAACATGAGGAAACACCCGGTGTTTCCTCATGTTTCACTACTTAGCAGTTTAATTTAATTATAAGATTAAATTCAAACTGAATTATTTTCCAGTTTAGATTTCCTTTTTCATAGTTAGAAAGCCACAGATGATGTTGTACAGCAGGGGTGTCCAACCCGCGGCCCGCGGGCCGCATGCGGCCCAAGGCAAGTTCCAATGCGGCCCAAGAAACGTGTAAACAAAACTGACAAATGTTTTAATTTTTTATTATTATTTATTTATTTCAATGGCATAAACTCAAAAAAAAGTTTCACAAAGCCGTAAACCTCTATTCATATTTTATGTTTGAGTGGAAAGAAATATTTTCAAATACTTGGAGATATGTGAATGCGGAAGGATTACTAAATAAAGCTGGAGCTGTGACTCAAAGGATTATAGACCCAAATTTGGGAAAAGGAGGGAAAGATGAGAAAGGACAAAAGATGTAGTAGTGAGAAACGTTAAATAGATCTTCTGTTAAGCAAATATAGACCCGTAATTTTTCAACCTTTTTCACTCCTTTATCTTTTGTTCTTTGCCTCTTTTTTCCCGCACTTGGGTCTATAATCCTTTGATTCACAACTCCAGCTTTATTTAGTATTTCTTCCAACGTTGCAAGATTTGGCTACATTGGGCCAAATGTGGCTACTTTTTTTTGCTTGACGTAAAAAATATCATTTGGCGCTTTCGCTACTTTTTCGGCTACATATTATTTATAATTATATTAATTGAATAAAAATGCACTTTAAAATGATGTTTCGTCGCTTTTTAATAATTAGAGACCGAAATAAAACAAATATTTGTGTTTTTCAAATAAATTTTCTTTAGTCTCTTTTATAATAAATGAATTTATCTATTTCTAAGTAAAAATTGAAAGTGTCTGTAGAGGTAATTTTTTAAAATATCCTTTTTTCTTGATAAAGTTTTAATACTTATTATTATAATCTATATATGTTAATTTTTAAATATACTGTACTTGTATATTGGGACACAAGTATATATTATAAATACTTGTGGCCCAAAACTCCTTGACTTCTTCCAATGCGGCCCAGAGAAACAAAAAGGTTGGACACCCCTGTTGTACAGCAAACTTTGTTACCCATCACATCCACTATGTGTTTATGTACTGCACATTCTACGTTGCCTGTTATACTTAACTATTCTCATTGGTCCTTTCATATTCACTTCTTTCCTATTTCTTAGTGGATTATTCTCATAGTCTTTTATTAACTCTTTAATCCTATTTCTTTGATATTTCTGTTTGGCTGTTAATTCCTTGATATACTCCAATTTCCTTCTTTGTGTCTAACCCCCAGCCAGAGCTGTGCATGTGTGTCCTTCTAATTAGTGCTTTAAACA